AAAGATTTTACGAAACTACAAAGTTCAAAGTCATTTAATAATTACAATCTTCTAGATATTTTCCTATTCTATTATTTTATTTTGTTGGGCTTTGGGCCTAGTGGGACCCACCCATTATTATTTTCTCAAGTGACCTTTACTCTCCCTCATTTTCATATTTCTCTTACTTCTCTTCCCTTCCTCTTTCTTCCCCAACTACTACACAAACACTGACGGCAGCTTCGTCGATGTTCTCCGACAAACCAAGCCACCCAACCACCATCATCGTACTCCCTTCTTCACCATGGACCTAACCCTAGTCTTCGTTTGGCGAAAATCTATCCCCAACGACGATTTGACAAGCTCCGATGCGGGATAACTTTCTTGTGTTTCCAGCGGAGCTAAATCTTGAAACTAGTACCATCTGATAGGTCCCATTTAGGAGATACATATTCACATATTGCATGAGAGAAATGGTTGAGATCTGATGCAGGTTCGAAGTGGAGAAGTTTCCCCAGTTTTAGACGAGAAATTGACTACCGACGAGGGTTTTCTAGCCAAACGGCAAGGAATTAACCCTCAAAGCTACCACCATTGTGTTCATCTCCATTCCAAGACTTCAAATATGTCATTGGATCGGACATGGGAGTAATGACAGTGGCACAGTGACGCCATAAAAAAATTATAGCCAAAACAGCAGAATCCGGCGAGGTGGCTGCGGCAACCTAACTCGGATCCGGGTCAACCCACCCGACAACTTGGTTCAAACGAGGTACGAACCTGATCCAAACATAATCCAACCCGACAACCCAGTTTGACCCTTCTGACCAGACATTCCGACACGTTTGCAAATTCAGGACGAAAATTTTCAATTATATTTCATATATTCTGCCACTTGTTTTAAAAGAATATTCCGTCTAACACGTAATATCCCTCTTTCGATGATGGACTATTCTGCTTCCAACAACCACCTCAGCTCTCGGCGCGTGGAGGCACGTCCTGGCCTTTCGCTGTTGTGCGGCGGCATGCGGAGAACTCGAGATTCCTCTTTTGGTTTCTTAGCGCGTTGAATCCAAATTCGTCTTCTGTTTTTCTAAATTTGATTATTTTAGTATAGTTTCATCAATCATGTTTCATACAAATACATGATTTTAATTTTGTCCTTAATAATTATTGTAGTGGTTTCGTACTTATGTGAAGCTTATCTTGAGGACCCTTAAAGCTCGCAAGGCGGTTTCGACGACATGTTGTGAGTAAGCTTTTCTTTTTAAACTATTATATTATTTGTTTTCGAAAGTACTTTTATTATATGCTTTCATCTCATGCCTGCTTTTGCTTACATTAATGCAATTGCTTTTTGTTATCTTGATGGTTGTGGTTTATGCTTTGGGAACTTTATTGGGAAATGTTTTACTTACCGTGCAGTACTTTCTTGGGAGTTGCCATGCTTATGCAATATTATGACTTGAGACATTATCCATGGCATGTTTTCGTATGATTTACTTGCTCATGTATGCTTGATGATGCCCAAAGATTCTTTAATAATAGTGTCTTAGTCAAGGATCAACTTTACGTGTATGTTCACATGCACCGGTGCATTCATACATTTATTTTGGATACAGATTAGGTGTTAGCACGTACTAGGCAAATAGGACTTATATGGGAGCGCATAACGCCAATTTCACATATATGTAGTACTAGAACATAAACTTTATACACCTAGTCTATTCATTTCACAGGATCTTTACATAAGCTCGTGTGTCTACATTGTCTGATGAGCATCCCATAATGTTGATTATTGATTGTGTTACTGCTGCTTGGATTTCGGCTTTCCGTTAGTGCTATGAAATATTATATTTAATGTTATTAATGTTATCAATGACATACTCTGGAATTGCGATTCTACTTGTCTTTTTCCTCTAAATAATTTTATATTTCGAGTAAGAGTATTATTATATTATTCTTTTAACACCTCGTTTTGCATACTTACATAGCAATACTTTGCGAACTTATACTTGTTTTACAGCGAGAGGTTACCTACACTTTTGAAAAGAAAAGATTTTAGAAAAACTATTACTTTGCCCATTCACATTTCTATTTTGCGCCCAATATCGATTTCTTGGTATGGCGAGAGCTTTTTGATGGTTCTGCTGACCTTGATACAACATACGAATTTACTTTCCCTTTTTGTATAAATGCCCATCATGTTCGAGATGAGAATATTACAATTTACTATTTATTTATGCTTAGACACTCACGTGTGTATTAATAGCTCTAACCTTTCTCTACGCACTCACGATTAATTTTATACTTAGACTTTTAGGTTAGGTTTAATGCTCTCACACTTTTTTCACATCATCTACATTTTATGGCTTCGTTACTTTTTACGTATCAGCCAGTACGCCTTGATTCGACTGTCCATATGAACATTCTAGCTCAGGGTGTGTCACATATAGTTTTAGAAAATTGTAATCACTCATTATTCGATCATAAGTCTAACAGTAAGTGATTATTTTACTTTTGTTATTTGACTTTCTCCTCCATCGTTGAATTAAGATCAAACGATAGATTATCATAATTTTCTTGAACCATGTGTTCTAGAAGAACGAGATTGATGAAATTTAGATGTTTTTGTTTTCTAATAAAAATTGTTACTGGCAACATCCTTTTCTTCTTATTATTTTATAAAATTGATAATGAGGAGGAGAACGAATCAAACGTAGAAAATTGGGTGTAGAGTGATGAAGAGAGAGCAACTTACTCGGTAATAATATACTTCATTGTAACGTTCTACACTAATGACAAAATATTATATAAATAAAAATTTACACATATTATATCATTAACCAAAAACAATATGATAATATTATGTACTATTGTTATGAATGATTTCTCAAAAAAGGGCACCAAACTGGAAGGCATGACTGCCTTAAGAGTTATATAGGGAAGTATGACATCGACCGGGGTTTGGGAAACAAAGTTTGATGGTTTGATTGTAGAACAGCTAGCTAGCTAGGGCTATCTAGTCAAGTCAACACACTCGTCTGTCGATGCATGGATTACGGACATTGTTTTCTTTTTGAGTAAATTACATTTTATCATCTTAGGTTTAGAATTGATTTCCATTTCTTACAACATCTTTAAAATATTTCAATTTCATACCTCAAGTACTATTTTATTTTAATATAATACATCCGTTACATTTTCTATCAATTGATCTTTTAAGGCTAACGTGGCTGCCACATTTATGTCACATGGCAAAAAATAATTTTTTATTCATTTAAAAATTAATTAATTAAAAAAAAAAAAAAAGCAATAAACAAACCAACCTAGAACCCATCTTCCCCCCAACCCCACCTTCTTCCTTTCCTCCCTCTTCACCTCCCCGACCTTCATCCCTTCCCTTCACCACCAAAACCTCAACTTCTCCCTCTCCATCACTTTCCTCGACCGCAAGCCTCTCCTCGACTACCTTACCAGAAAGATCTCCTCCTCCGACTCCATCCAGTTCCTCCTCCCTCCCCAGAACGACGCCATACACCACCCCCAAATCCCAACCACCCTCAATTCCGTGCACGAAAAACCCCCACTCTCACAGCTCCGCTCTCCACCACCGTTCACTGAAACAAATAGAAACCACAAAGTAGCCGATGATGAACCTCGAAAACCTCGATGCGACCAACCATGCCCCTTCCCGGCCCAACCGATTCGTGCACCGGTCCTCCAAGGCCAAGCCTAAACCCAAATCCGAACCCGTGCGAGTATGTTTTGGATGTTGTGACATTGTTGCCTACATTGCTATATAATGTAAAGTGGGTTGGGGATTTGTGTTTGTGTTTATTTTCAAACTTTGCAGGGAGAAGGTTGGGGAAGGAGACAGGTGGGTTTTGGGGTGGGATGGGGTGTTTGGGTTGCACGGATCAGGGACGAAGATGGGTTATTTTATTTTATTTTTTAAAATATATATATAAATAAATAGGGTTAATTATTATAATATTATAAATGAATAAAAAATTATTTTCTTGCCACATGGCACAAATTTGGCAGTCACATCAACATAAATATGGCAGCCACATCAGCTCTTAACAGATCAATGGATGAAAAATGTAATAGATGTATTATATTGAAATAAAGTAGTACTTGAAGTATGAAATTGGAACGTTTTAAAGATGTAAGAAATTAAAATCGACCATAAACTTGACATGGTAAAGTGTTATTTACATTTTCTTTTTCTAGTCAAGTTGTCAACTTGACAAGTTGTGAGTTTGTCAGTCGTTCCAAATAAACCACTCCTCTAATATTTGCAATCATAAATGTGTGTGTGTGTGTGTCTCTCTCTCAACAAGTTGAGTGTAGAGTTGGCTAGGCATGTCCACCTAAGCATAGTTCCTAATCTTCCCTACTAATTAAACAATATCAATAGACTACTTTCTTGTTAAGCCTTTGTGTGGATCAATAGAAAAGGATCACTGCGGGATCCTTTTCCTGGGGATTCTAAGGTTCTCGTAATCATGTTCGTTTATAGTACATCGTGCAGTTAGAAATTATTTAAAATTCAAATATAAATAGTACCTAACAAAAACTGATCACACCATATATGATAAACGAACACGATTACGGAATTCTTAAAAAAAAGGATCCAACGATCAATCTAAGTGGTGAGAGACGGTGAATTAATAACTAATAAGTTAGAATTAGAACATACCATATGGTAAATATATTGTGTTATTATCGGGGGAGTCCATGCAAATCTACACTTCAAATCAATGTTTGAATGGAAATACCCAAATGCACCCGTTTAAAACTTTAAATAAAAATTAAGCTTTAGTTTTTTCAAAAACCTTTACTGTACAAGAAGACAACAAGAAATCACAACGAAAGCCTTACCACAAAATAAATAGATTCTCGACAAGGATGTCCTGCAAGAGAAATTCACACCACCTGTTATTATATGAATGAAAAGAAGTTCTTTTTTTTTTTTTTTACCGAGTTGTTAATTTTTTAACTATGTAGTTCATCATTTGTATAGTGATATATAGAATACTATTTCGTGTTTCGAACACACTGAATTATAGTAAGGAAAAAAAATTTCGATGTGTCTAGAACACAAAATAGTACACCACATGTAAGTATCCATTAAATTTTGATCCAAATGTTAAGCAAAGATATTAGTGGTAAACAAAAAACAAAGCAAACACAAAACAAAAGAAGAAAACATTGGTTAAAAGGAGATGAGTTGGAGCGCAGTCTGGCTGTGTGACTTTCGCGGAGACACTCTGAAAAAGAAAAGTATTAAAATCAATAATACATCCAATATTATTGGACAGGTAAGCAGGCACTTGCGTGAGCCCGCCCTACCGCCTTCCATGCATCATCATTCATCAGTCTCTCCCTATAAATACACACACTAATGTCTCATAACATACAAGCCAAACTAAGATACTCCCTTCTTCTTCTTCCATAAATATAATCAAGATGGCTTTGTCATCAAGAATGCTCATAGCTTCCATGCTTGTCTCTTTTCTACTTCTCCAATATCTCACTGAAGCAGCTGATCATCAGTATGAGATGGTAATATATCGACGCATATATATCATATGTTTCTTTCAACTTTCAAATTGTGTATTCAAATTTTCTTCAATGATTTAAGAAAACATATGAATTGAGAAGTATTTGTACCTAACTATTTTCAGATGGACGTCAATGGAGCACCAAGCCCCCAGGCCCCGACATTAGGTACGTCACGCACTTTCATCTTCAATTCTCTCACTAATCTCACCATTACTGTGATTATGACCATTTAGTCTATTGACATCCAGTCTTAAGAAAATTTGAGTTCATATCTTACTGATGAAAGTTGTTAGTTATAATTTCATATGTCCAATTAATTAATTGTGCAAAATATACGTGTGCAGATTGTGGAGTGGCATGTGAAGGAAGGTGCAAACTATCATCGAGGCCTCGTCTCTGCAAAAGGGCATGTGGGAGTTGTTGTGACAAGTGCAATTGTGTTCCTCCAGGCACTTCTGGCAACTATGAGTCATGTCCTTGCTATTTTAACCTCAAAACCCACAATGACACCCGTAAATGCCCTTAATACGCTTGTATGTAGTGCGTAATGAAACTTTTGAAGTGCGAATAATAATTTCCTTTCTATTATTCAATTAAAATTTCACCAAAATAAATAAAACGATGTTTTGGCATGGAGATTGTATTAAGATTGCATTGTAGCTAATAAAGAACTTTTTTTTTAAATTCTTTTGTTTTATTTGATGAGTATTTAATTTGTTGGATTATGTATTTTTATTTCTTTTTTAAGTAAGTTATCAAAAAAGTTTGAATTTTCCTAATTATATAGGAAATTAACATAAACATGTCGTAAGGGGTGAATTGCCCTGGTAAATAGGATATTCCTCTTCAATCTAACGTATCTTGAGTTTAAATTCTTCCTCTTCTTGTTGCAATAGTCTTTCAACTTTAACTCAATTGGAGAAATGGTCTCTCAATAAAATTCATAACCATTGGTCCATTAACTCGTCAAAACGTGCAACTATGGTCATTTTCGTCAAGTCCGTTACAACATTTTCACGTGCCACACACATAAGGCTAAATCAAGGGGCAAATATAAGAAACTAAATGAGAAAATTGTAGAAATAGTCCCTTAACTTTAACTTTATTAGAGAAATTGTCCCTCAATTTTAACCAAATTGGAGCAATGGTCTGTCAACTTTATTCCAATTGTAACAATGATTCTTCCAACATGACTCGTTCTGATGGAGTTTACAAAAAAAATTATAGTTGTACGTTTTGAGGAATTAAGAAACAATGGTCATGAATTTTTAGTTGAGGGATCATTGCTTCAATTGGATTAAAATTGAATAATCATTGCTACAATTTCTTTCATTATTTTAACTTAAAATAGTAATATCACTTGTAATAAATAAATAAAACATAAATATATCATGCAGTTTACTAATCCTTCTGCTCGATATACAGCATATGGTCGCAAAATTAAATTCTTGTGTGAGATAAATAATCTACGTATGGAGTTATAAGCTCTCCCGGAGCACGTGTATAAACATACATATGCATTACATGTTGGTGTAATTCTTTCTTTCCTTTTTCGATTATTTTGCTCCTTTTGTTTTTTTCTTGAAAATTATTTGGCACCTAGATCACACGTAGGTATTGTTAATCATGCTTAGTGATAGTGAGATTTTCTAAAATTAATTTAATCCCGACAGTTTTCAAAGTTCAGACTCGATTGGTCAAATGAATCTAAGCTGTGCTTACTTCCCCAACCAAATAAAAAAGAAGAGCTGAGCTGTACGTCACTCTGCCAAATAACTACTCCCATACGGAAAAGGATCCTCACTAGATTCTTTTTCTAGTCAGTTTTCGTTAGGTACTATTTATATTTAATTTTAAATTTAAAATTTAAAATGATTTCTGACCGCATGATGTACGATGAATGGACATAACTACAAGATCCCCTCATACAACACAACTTGAACTCGGCCACCAAATATTCTCTTTTTTCTCAAAGATCTTTCGTTGTACTTTGCTATTACGTTACGTTATAATCTTAACTACATATTATTAGAACTTTAATTAAAATCTTATAAATTATCTTTTAATCCCCTAATATTAATTTTTTTAAGCCTCACCCACAAATGATTATAACATATCTCTAATATTAAGAAATTAAAAAAATAAAAAATAAAAAAAACCTTTATCCCCTATCTTCCAACTCACACATTCTAAATCACTCTCTTCCTCTTTCCTTCTATTTTAAAAACAAAATAAAAAATATATGCCTAATTTTATTTTTTATTTTTTATGAAAAGAGAAAACGTTACAATTTTATATAACATACAGGTTCTAAAAGGCGTCAGGCGTTAGTCGGGTAGTGATTGGGGCCTAGCACTTTGACGGCTAGGTTGGGTCTAAGTGACACACCCTGACCTAAATGTTCACTTGGACTCCAAATCGTGTTATGCTGGTTGACACCTAGAGAGTGACGAAGCCATAAAGTATAGTGATGTGGAAAATGTGAATAAATTTAAACCTTAAAGTGCCTAAATATAAGGATGCGCTTGTGAGTGGGAATGAACCCATTTCACACGTGATGATAAAGCATAAGTAAAGTATAGTAAGGTAGAATAAGAATTATACAAGCAAAGGTAGCCACTTATAATGAGATTTGCCCTCGTCGACACGAAAGCTCAACACTAAAACTTGGAGGGGCAAAAAACAAAGGTGAGTGGGGCTAAAAATAAAGCTTTGTAAAAGCCCTTTCGAAAACATAATAACCCTTGCCGTAAAACAAGTATAGTTTCCAAAATATACATACTATGTATAGTAAGAAAATACCTACCATAATCTGCAATATCTCAAGAATTCAATACAGCACGATATTTCGTAAGTAATCACATGATGTCCATAATCGCATAATCTCGCATAAGCAAACATATCATATCGAGTGCTCATCGACACATGCTGACACACAAGTTCATGCATACATATTCTGACATGAACAGGACTAGGTGTAACAATGATATATGCTCTAGTACTACAATCGCGTGAAGAATGGCGCAATGTGCAGCACATACGAGTCCTAATTGACTATAGCAATTTAGGACAGGACTGGCACCTACAATGGATCCAAAGTGAGCATACGATGCGATGTGTACATACACGTGAAAGACTGTCCCTAGCCGAGCGAGTACTAACACCAGTGCAGCAATGGTGAACAGTTAACGTAAATACAATCACGCAACATTAAATCGATAATTCACATCGACATAATAGTAATAAATAAAATATTAATCATGGCCGTAATTAAAATCCCATAAAAGTATGCATACCTGTGCATCCTGTAGGATTTATAATAATTTCGTAATTTTCCGTTATTTCGCTAATTCTTATAAACATTAGTCTAATCTAGGCATACGTAGGAAATTCTTTTTCAAATGTATAAATGGAATCATATACATATACCATATAAAAGAAAGACACACTCATAGTTATTTGCGATGTCACATCCGTTCAAGCTAGAAAGCTAGAGTCTTCGATAGTAAGAATATTCCAGAGAATATTCTGAGCCCATTTCAGAAATGGGTCAGGCTGGAATTTGAGCCGTGTTTAGGCTGAGGTCTTTTTTTTTCTTTTGGGTTGGGCCGAGTTGACCCGATTCTTGTTGCCGGTTTTCACAAAGAAGAAAGCCGGAACTTTAGAAGCTCCGTTCATCCCCAAAACTCAGCTAAACCTAGCAACCCAAAATATGAAATTGATGTGTAAGAAACAAGGAATCGAAATATACCAATGGGTTCCTCGACCATGGTCGGAGTTGGCCAGAAAATGGCTCGAAATGGTCGGATCTCCGCCAGAAAACTGGGGAGTATACAACTCAAAAAATCAAATCAAAACATGTATACAACTCAAAAATCTGAGAACTTGCTGGAAAGAAGCCAAGTGGACGGTTATAGTTGTTGGGAACAGATTGTTGTCCGTTGTCTTGATTGTTCCACTTTAAGTGTGGATGATTGTGCCATCCCACATTATAGTTGTTGGAGTATGGATCATACTTTTGCCTTTGTTGCCCCTGAAACCCTCATAACGCATTAGCTTGCTCAAGACCACCTTGATCCATCAACGAATGGCGCATGTCCGTGGCATGTCCTATCATTGAACATACACCGCACACCTATTTTGGAGCCACCATAATATGTTGCACAAGATTAGTCAAGTTAGCTAATTGTAATTCAATACTAGAATTAGCACTTACCTCGTTAACTTTCTTAAGAGGTAGTTCATCTCTTCTTCCAAATTGTCGTGTGTTGCCAGCAATGTTCTTTAATAATGCCTTAGCATTTGTGGGTGTCTTGTCTATGAATGCTCCTCCACTTGTTGCATCAAGCATTACACAATCAGTACCACATAATCCTTCATAATTGTATTAGAAGATGCTCTGAAATCTGATGATTAGGACAAGATGCAACCAAATGTGTGAATCGCTCATAGTAATCTCCAAAGGGCTCTCCATATTGTTGTTGGATTGCACATATGTCTGTCCTTATGCTTGCAGCTTTTGTGGCTGAAAAATATTGCTCCAAGAATGCTTGCTTCACTTGGTTCCATGTGTTCATTAATCCTGAAGGTAAATTGTAAAGCCACTCCTTTTCCTTAGCTTCTAATGTAAAATGGGAATGCCCTCAACTTGACTTACTCCTCATCAATATTTGCTGGTCTCATTCCCGAGCATGCCACATGATGAAATGCTTGTTGGCATCCTCTATTGAAAAGCCATGGAACTTAGGCAAGTAATGAATCATGCCAGACTTAAGCTCAAATCCTTCTTGTGCATTTGGATTTGTGATGCACAATGGTTGTTGATCCGTATTTGGCATTGCCAACTCCCTCAAAGTACGGTTATCAGCCATGCCTTCTTGTGGTTCTTCCTCATCTTCCGAACTCAAATGTGGTGGAGAAGATGGTGGTAAAGACACTGATGCACGCTTCTGCTTGATTTTTCTCTGAAGCTTTTGAAGTGTTCGTTCAAGCTCATGATCGTAGGAAGCTAGATCAATGCTCTAGGACCTTTGAGTATGCATATACTACGAAGAGTACTTGAAATAAAAACAAAAACAAAAACACTAATTAGAAAAAAAAAATAAAAAAAAAAAAATAGAAAAATAAGTAATTAGAAATAACAATCCCCGGCGACACGGCACCAAAAATTTGATAGGATTAAAAACACACCACAAAATAGCACATAAATGTCCTATTGATTTTCCTTATTAACACTAAGATTTGTCAATTGTAGCATATGAAAATAAGGGTCTTTCCCGCAGAAGATTGTTTTATCTAAATACTTAAAATATCACAAAAATTGGGTTGCTATCCCTACTGACCAGCCACCGAAAAATATTTATTAGACCAACTTACACTTATCTAAAGTCTACGAAATTTTATATGCAGATACTAGACACAAATAGCTACACTCATACAAATTTTGGGATTTTTGGAGTTGATTTGCTATTTAAATTAAATCGGACAGAAACAGATTTTAAGTAGTTCACAAATTAAGAAAAATGAGTTAGGGGAATTGCTATCCACCACCAAATAATCATGCAAACATGTTATGTTTCATTCAAATTCCTTTTATTTCTGGATGAAGATCCTCAAGTTGGCTTATTGTTAGAACTCAACCTATTACTCTTTCTTATATAGTATGTTAAGAGAATGACGTTT